ATCTGTCCGATAGGGTCTGCCAGACCTAGTAGTTTTTTCCTGCGTCGACTCTAACTTTCCTCTTCCATCTGCCATAACACTCTTATGAAAATCCAAGGTCGATCCCACGGCTGGAATTTGTTTTGAAATGGAAAATTCCTCTAGCCCAATTGTTATTGTAGCAATGTCAAGCCTCCTCTAGGGGGACACACTAATAGCCAAAGCTTGCAACTTTAAAAAAAGAAAATAGTCCTTATAAGTCCCCCAATTCACATAAAAACAACAGTTTCAGTTGCACTTAATCAGTTACTTTAAAACCAGGAGAAGTTCAGAAACACTGTATCTCTTTTGCAGAGTTAGCTGTCAAAAGTCCTCTGCTTACCAATAGGCTTTCCACAGAGCGGCATTCCTTATCTCGGGGCAGTCCGTTCCCAGGTTTTAGGCGGTGGATTTTAGCTTCCTTTCCCCCCTTTTTTTGCTGATAAATACAGTTCAAACCTTTCCCCCCTCCTCTCCTGCAATCTGGAGGGGAGATCGCTTTCCTGATGTTGAGATTTAAATCTTTTTTCAAACGTCTTTCAGAGTTTCCGCTTACAGTCTCTTTGCTTTGATCTATTTACAAGAAAGGAAGGCAGACTTCCTGTTTATACCTTCCCGCTTCGGTGCCGAATTAACTTGTTTTTTTCCCTTTAGATCCAATTTAATCCTACTCACGGGTAGTTGCTTTCAAAGTCAAATTGTCCCAGGAAAAAGTCAGCGCTCTCCGATAACGGCTATGCGGCTTCACTCCGCGGAAGAAGCAGTCGACTCTCAGCACCGCGCCGCTCACCCCGTCTCGCTCCGGAGCCCTTAAAAGGGTCCCTTCGCAATTTGGGGGGGCGCAAAAGGTGCCCGCCGAGTCCCCACGTTCACAGGCTTCACCCGCCTGTGATTTTTAAAGGGCCCCCGCTTCGCCGCAGCGGTCAGACCCGATCCCGCGGAGCTGGTCCCTCAGAGACTCAGAGGGAATCCGCCATTATCGATGGCGCCAACCCGGAAGTAGAACTGAAGTGTTGATTAGGCTTGCCATACGTCAGAAAAATTCCTGACATGTCCTGGTTATCGGGTGTAAAAATGGTGTCGGTGAATATTCTGCTGAACCAGCAAAATGTCAGGGGAAAGCCAACACGATGGAAAAAGCTGTGGAAACATCTCAAAAACCTTAAAATCCCTACTTTTGAGGTAGGTTTCCCCCCAAAAAGCTTAAGAATTTTGGGGTCTTTCTAAAAGAAGCTCAACAACTTTGTGGGTGTCAGGAATTTTACTTTTTGAAATATGGCAACCCTATTGAGATGCTGTTATTCGGTTCTTTTTGAATGAACCATTGCTATTGGTTTGTTTTCTATATTGCAAGTCTCTTTCATGCAAGCAGCATAAAAATTAAAACCTAAACCTCATTCAGCAAAAGTGGGGACTGGTACATAAAAACTGTGTGATCAGGAACTCCCTCAATAACACCTGCAGTACAAAAATGTATATACACTGTTTTCAACATTACCTTAGTCCTATTGACAAAAATGTCACTTAAATGGCTTAAAATCAAGTCTTTCAATTTAACTGACATTAGGCTTCAGTCTTTATGGGGTATTTCTCTTATGCATAACTAATGTTGTCCAGTCTGAGACCTGGAACAGTGCTAGCTGCAAATCTATGAAGGTAAACAATTAGAAACTATTCATAGTGGCTGGAATGTTGTCAAGCAAACAGGTGAAGTAGCCTGTAATTGTGTTCCCCTCATTTCTCCAAATATGAGAAGGGTCAAGGGGAGCAGCATTTAACACATAGGTCTGATTCCTTTTGGAAGGAGGCCACTGGAGGCTTATTTCCATTTTGAAATATTTATGTTTATTTATAAAATACACAGGCCGAGTGACCGTGGAGTGATTAAGTTGTGCCTCTTCCTAACAAGCAGACAAAGTCCATTGCTCTTACATCAAGTCTCCAATCCCCCATCCGCAAATAATGTTGTCAGCTTACTGAACCTAAAGCTCAGCTCCCTGTGTGTTTCTTGGTTTCACTCCGAAGGTAATCTGCTGTTCTTTTCACACACAAGATACCTTGCCCCCTCCTTCTACCAATGTGGTGGAATCTAAATGAGACATCTCCACCCATCACACATCCTCCTAGGATCCCTCTCTGACTGGCCTTTCATAATATTCACCTTGAATAGGAAGGGGGCTTTTCTGTTCGACAGCAAAATGTCTTGGTCTAGCCCTGTGATGCATTCTGATAGGACCTGATTTTCTTTACACACAAAAACAACTTGTTGGCTGGCTCTCTAATCTGGGCACCACCTTGTCCTCCAGTTGAATGGCACAGACCTAGACAGGATGTGCTAGTACCAGTCTCAAGGGTTATAAGAACTTACTATGTCAAGGCTCTCCTGCTTAAATGCTTACCTGCCTCTCTGACTCCAGCATTATCAAAATAAGAGAGCTGGTTTTAAAAATGCCCTGCATGTCATGATATCCTGTCTAGTCCACCTGATTACTCTTTCTCCTGCTCAGGCATAGCAAAATGATACAGAGTGCACTTGCATTCCCAGCTCATGGGTTATCAACAATGACAACATCATTCTACCTGGAAGATTCACTGAGTTTACTGGAGAATTTAGTTTATGAATAAAATGCCCCTGTTTTATAATGTGCCAAGGCAAATGGCAACAAGGCAAATCAATCCACTTCTTTTGAAACAAACTAGAATTAGAAAAGGAAATCAGTCTGCTCTTGACCAATTTCACTTGGCTTTTTAAAAGCACAGCTTTATTCATCCAAATGGGCAGTCAACAACAACAAAAAAGATCTGGCATGCTGTGAAATAGGTTGAAAAAGCAGACACATTTTCCTGAAATATTCAAGCAGCAGGGGCTTAATACCATCTGGTGTTTCAGTGTGCTGTGTCTCTCTCAGGCTCAAACTTCATGTTACACAGAGTTCTGTGCGGGGTTTCTCCCCCACTTCACATATTTCTATTTTAACCAAAGCAGCCTGAGCAAATAGATTCTCATTGAAGAAAAGTGAGATGCATTGCTCCTTCCCCTCTTGCAGAATTTCAGCTCAAAATGTGAGTTCAGCACATGCTTTACACCAGGAGTGTGAAACCTCCAGCCCATGGACCACCCTAGGTCCCCCAGGCATTCTGCCCACCGGGCCATTTGGGGGTGATCACCAGGTGGTAGGGTGGGTAAGGGTGGAGCTCCAAAGAAAGAATCAGGAGGTTAAACTGGGCTCCTAGTTGTTCCTTTGCTGAAGCAAAGCATGCTCTCACCCACTCTAGACTTCATCAGGCCTTGTCGGGCTCACCAATGGTTAGAGTCCTAGGAGTCATGGTCTCTTCACCCCCACAAAAAAATTGTTGAGGGGGCCAGCCCCCCCCCAAGTTGGTGGGCATTGCTATTCAAATGGTGTACGTGCACCTCATCTTGTGATCGATTATGTGGGGCAGGCCTTATCTGCCCCTCCAATGTTTTATTCAAGTTGGCACCCTGGTTAGAGTAGATGGGATTCAGAGTCCAGCACCATCTGGAAGGCAACAAGTTCCCCACGCAAAGGTCTCCCCACCTTGATGAAGCTCCTTTAAAAGAGAATACTATATTCTTCCTTATGGTTCTCTCTTTCTCCCTCTTTCGATCTGCCGTCAGATTGCATTTTATTCGGTAAAGCATTCTAGGTCATAGCATATGAAAGACCTTTTGTGAAATATATGTCAGTGTTACTTCACAGTGCTTCAGATGAACAGGGACAACAAAAAAGGTTGTCAGAGTACAGAAAGCAAAGCTCACATCTTATATTTAATTACACCGAGGGTTAAATGAATCTGCTTGACTCTGTTATTCTTTGCAACTGGAGCTCCTTTCCAGGGCATTACATTGTACCACTTCTTTCTCCCTCTTCCTTCAAATCCCTGCTCAAAATCCAGCTTTCCCCCCATAAAGCCTTTGGTTTAAACCATTCAGTTTTCACCTCTTACATAAACTAAACCTAAGAAGTACATATCTGTTCCTTCCCTGCTACCCTTGCCTCTGTGATGTTCATTGGGACAGAAAGCTAGCTCGTTTGTGTTACTCTGTAAAGCACTGTGCACATTACTACTTGTAATGTATCAATAGAATTACTCTCTGAAATGGTAACTAAGTAGTACTCTATTTTAATGCTACATTTACTGGATCTTGAGTAACTCATGGTACCTCCGGACTGTTACTGTTCTGCAGGAGGGATTTCAAGCACATTCCAAAACTTTGGGTTTGTGCAATTAAAACAGATTTAAGTGCTCTGTTGGCCTACTGCAACGAATTCACTTCAAAAGCAACAACAGACTTTTTGTGGTTTGGAAAATGATGGGGAAATGTATTGGAAAGTGTGGGATGAAGAAATGATTAACAGAGGGATGTGTAAACACCCTGCAAGCAAATCAGAATGGAACGCTCATTGTCATAAGTAACCACCGTGTAAAGAAATCAGAATTAATTCTTCATAAAGACAGGAGACGATCTAACCTCCATGTAAGCTTTGTGCAAGCAAAACAGGATGAATCCTCAATAAACAGATTGTCTGGAGCAGCCCTTATTTTCAACCAATACTCAGACACAGGGATATTTGACATCAAGAGGGAGAAGAAAAATGGAAGCTTTTAGAAATAGCCTGGTTCAGCATGACATGACACTCTGTAAGGATTTGTGCGGGGGGGGGGAGGTTGTGTGCGCATCTATCCATCTCTCTGAATTTTACTCTGGGATTTGTGGGACCAAAATAACATGGCAGCATCATTGGCAGGGCAGATAGCGAACTTTGTCTCTCTCTTTCCTTCTCTCTTCTTCCTCCCTCTTCCCCTCACCCACTTTCATTCATTCACATGCAGAGAACACCCCCGCCCTCTCGCTCCTGTCCTCCCACAGCTCCCACAACCGCCACCACCTTTACATCATGCTCGAGTCACCATGGAAACCATAACACAAGCAGCTGGCTGCTGTGCTGAGGATGCCAAGAATTCTCAGAGAAAAGTCATTGGCAGTAAGGCAGCAACAGCAGCAGCAGCAAAAGGGCATGAGACCTTCCTGGAAGAGGACTTATTTTCTACCCTTTCAGAGATGCTGCTGGATTTAAAGAGGCGACGTCAGTGAGCAAGGAAAAGCAAAGTTCAGATGAGTGACACCCAAACCTTCTCCAGTATATGAGGATTACATCGAATGGCTCTCCATCTCTTGGTGAAAAAGAGTTTTTTATAATAGGGCTGCCACATTTTGGGGGGTTCCCAGATGGGGTCTTGATATTGCAAGTAGGTCATTCAGACAACAGCAGCTAGTCTGGTTGAGGAGAGCCACAGCAATAGCCTACTGCCAGGAGCATCACTACAGCTAACCAACAAGATGAGGGCAAGGGGACAGTATGTAATGTACAGCCCCAACCTCACCCCTGCCTCACCCCTGCCTCAACCCTCGCCAGCTTCATTGCCCCAGTAAGCATCAGTGAAGCTGCTGCCAGGAGGCTATTGTGGCAGCTCTACCCCACTGTGCAAGCTGATCCTGCATTTAATCATTACAAACAGATTGTTGGCAACAGGTTGTTTTGTTTTAAACTTATTTCAGTGTTCCTGGAAAGGGTACATCCAGTTAAACTGGGGGGGGGGGGTGGAATACGAGGTAGCATTTTTATGCCAATGATGTCATGTGTCTGCCGCAAAAAATAATTGCAGGCAAGAGGAGCAGTCATCCCACAATAAACACCTGTCTAGAAGTACCTTTTATTTCACCAGCATCTATTCTTAGAGGCCTCCTTCTATGTCTGGGCGGTCCAACTTTTCATACCAATTGGGCTGCAATAGTACTTCAACATGGAACCTACAGATGACACATTGCCTTGTCGCACACGAGGGGGGAGCGAGGCCAAAATTTGATGCTGCCCCCAGCCTTCATGCTGCCTTCCCAAAGCTGGCTAAGCGAGGTGCCAGGCTTTAGGAAGGAGGCGCAAGGCTCCTAGATCCGTCCCACCTCCTTCCCAAAGATGGGAAAGTGCTACCTAGGCTTTGAGAAGGAGGCACAAGGGCTCCAGGACCCTGTCAGAACCCTCACACCCCTTTCCCAAAGTTGAATTCAAGGCCTCCTTACTCGGCTTTGGAAAGACAGTGCAAGGGCTTGGGAGAGGTATCAAATGTTGATGAAGGCCTCCAAAAAAAGGCCTTAAGGGCTGTATGTGTCCCTTGGACCACGTGTTGGGCCGCCTTGCTCTATGGGTTTTATATGAAAGTTTACTATATCCAGCACAGTTTCTGTTACTGGTTATTGACTTTCTAAAGAGTAACAGTGAGTCTGAGCTCTTGCCAGACAACAACTACCGGTAATACAGGTCAGCCATAGGAAAGCGCCTCTACTTAACCACAACAAGCAAACCAAAGAGCTGTTAGATACTCAAAGGGAACCAAGAACTGTATTCTTAAACTGCTAGCCAACAGCCATCCAAAACTACTAGGTTACACAGATGCTGCCTGGGAATAGACCACTAAAGCAAATAGAAGGAGTGTCAGAGTCAAGGAAAGTCTGGTTTTTGAGGGTTAGTAGGTTTCCTGTGCTAGAACCCCAAATCAACTTTAATTTTGCTACCTGAGCTTAACCACGTGTGTTGAAATCCTACCTCAAAATAACAACAGTCAGGAAGGACTCTTTCTTTCAAAAGTTTTTGCTTTACCCCACTATTTTGAGAACTTTTATACTTTAATACTTTAAGTAGTTACTCTTCATAGGCTGCATGTTCCTCCTCCCTTGTGATGAATCAATTCAAAGGAGAATATCATAGCAACATGCCTGTTACCCATCCCTGTTCAGTGGAAAGATCCCAGACATTGTGGGCTGTTGGGAGTATTGTGATAATGCAGTAGGTGTGGCACACTTTTTGCTCATGCAGAATTACGTTTATGGCTCACCTCAGTCAGCTTTCTGCATGACTCGAACCTTGCTTTCTGCTTTCCCAGAACTTGACAGCTGGATCATCCCCTAATGCACAGATATGTGGATTTTGCTTTTGCTGCTGCTGCCCGACGTTACTTCCCAAATGTCTCTCACTCATTGCCATTAGTTAATTAGAAGATTTCATGCAATCTAATAAGAGTGGCTGTTAGGCAAAGCACGTCTCAAAACTGCCTCGGATAGAAAATGTCAGGTGTTGCCTTGCCAGCTCTGTACTGTATAAAACTCTTGCATTCTGTTCATTCTGCTTGTGGTATGCTTTGATATACAAAGTAAAAAAATCAAATATTCTGACAAAAGCATCTTGCCCACCCATCAGACACTTATTCACAGCACATTTGCATTTAAATGTTAATTTTTTTAATTCAAACAATTTATAAAATCAAGCTGTGCTGTACAGTGTTTGACTGTGTCCTCTAAGATCACCATTCTCCTTGAAGGTCTGAAGACACATCACAATGATGCCACTCTCTTTACTGGTCCTTATTGTCATTCAAGCTGCTGCAGATGACCCTCTTGACTTTGGCTGATCAGGAAACCAAGCCGTTCTCTGTCCAAACAGGACTTTGGCATAATAGTGAACCACACATTTGTGATTTCCAGGAATGCATATGCTCATCTGCAAAACCACTAATTATCTCAGAGTGCAATGCTACTCCTGAGCATGGCATACTTTTAAGAGGCTAGTCCACCTTTTTTCCCTCTGTCTGCAAGGGTTCTCACTCCTAATAGATGCTTTAGTGGCCTGTCTCCCCTTTTTCTGGGACCACCTATAAGAATTATGTTAATTAGAAAGCATAGATTAGGCAGTTGTGATTGCTGGAGAATGAAGTGACCATAATGGTTGAACTATATTCTGGAAGTCATTACAATGAATATATTACTTATCCTCTCTGAGAATGTAATTAAAGGCCTTTCAGCTTGCTTTCTGATAAAGCAGAGAGAGGCATAAGGAGACAGAGTGGATTTAATTAATACTGGGCTTTATAGTAAATCACTATTTTCAACTTAATTAATGAGTATTGTGAATACAGTATGGCTGACAATCAAACAAGAGGTACTGTATACAGTTAATCAGCACCTTTCACACATGCGCACACACTCACTTCACTTTTATTTGCCCATTTTGTGCACTTGTGGCACAACTCAGATCATAGCTGGCCTCTCTCTGTGGTCTATTGGGGTGGCTTTTGATGAAACCGCCGAGACTGAGGTCAGAGAGAGAAGCAACCAAGTGTGACTGCAAAAGGTTTGATGTGTAGCCCTGCACAACCTCACCATGCCAGAACCAAAACACTACATGTGAAGCATGTACCCTACCACTCAGGTGCTGCCTCCACCCCACCCCACAAGGTGTCGTTTTTGAGCATTGTTGCACAAAGTGAAACTAATGCAAAGATACCCTTGTAAGATCTGCAAGTCCTGTTCATACTAGCTACAGTTAAAAGCTCCTCCTGCCCCCTCTCTCTTTGCCCCTATTGGGTAACTGATTTCTTATTAAATTAGTGTTAAGTGAGTGAACAGAGGTTACTGTGTTTGCAAGGTCCCTGCCTAGACACTGAATTCACACTTTTAAATGCTCTGAGTGACTAAATAAGCTTGGAGAAACGGGACCTTTTGTACTTATGCCAATCTTCTTTTCCATCCTACACACACAGACTGAAGCTAGCAGGATCCTAATTTTAAAACAATTTTGTTCCATATTTAGGGGATTCAGTTATCTGTGTAAGCATTAGTTACAAAAAAAAACCTTGATATCTATGTAATTAAAATACTATCTTAATATTTCATTAACATAGGCAAGATTGTATCCCTTCCTGCTTCCTCGCTCTGCAATTTTCCATAGACGGAAGTAGCTGGAATATTGCATGGTACCATGTCTATTCAGAAGAAACACTGTGACCTACGCATCTGCCCCTGACCTTTAGTTGGATCAATAAAACTACAAATTGGTCTTTTCTTATCCTTGGCACTTTAGTAATAAAATCCCCATTGAAATGAAATGAGGCTCTGAACTTTATCTCTTTGTGTTGTTGTGAAGATACCTGGGAGGTGGGGAAGGAGACTGACGGTGATTCAGGCAGTAAGCTGAAGGGCCCTCCCCTACTCACAGCAACTCCGCCGTTTATATTCGGTCCCTATAGGACATCATTATCAGCTTTGTATCCACACAGCTTGCCAGCACTTCCAGAACTGAAAGGGGGGGGGGAGATGCACCTCAGTTCATTTCTACAGCATTGTCTTCATTCTCTTTAATCCTCTTTTCTGAGGTTTTTTTGTCCCTGTTGGGGCAACAAGATTGAGATTATTTTGAAAACCGAGTTCTATTTTCTCCATAAAGAGGCTGCAGAGCTTTAGCATCATCATAAATAAAAATGAAAAATACTGTTAGCATTTTTGGTATGCCATGATGATGATGATGATGATGGCGATGATGATGATTTATTACATATATCCCACCCATCTGACTGGGTTGCCCCAACCATACTGGGCAGCTTCCAACATAATATAAAAACTCAGTGAGACATCAAACATGAAAAACTTCCCAGTACCAGGCTGCCTTCAGGTGTAGTTGATTATCTGTTTGACATGTGATGGGAGGGCGTTCCACAAGGCACATACCACTATTTTGGACTATGGCGTCAATTTATTTTTTGCATTTTTATGCTGCCTTTTCTTCAAGGAGCCCAATGGTTCTTCCCCCACTTTCATCCTTGTAACAACCTTATGAGGTAGGGTGTCGGATCGTGCCTGGACCAAGGTAACCAAACTATTCAAGGCCATATTCTTATCTCATATACTTTTTCCAGCAGAAGATAATCTTGCTTTTTTTCAAATCAATTGGCTTGTTAATGTTTTTATTGGCAATGATGTTCATCTATTAAATGCATCCAACAAAGAGGGGACTTACCCATAAAAGCCAGTCATAAAAGCAAATGCAACGGTATCTTTGTTATGCCAACTTTCCTCAGTCTAGTACCTGCCTGATGCTGTTGCGTTCTAACTCCTGTCAGCCCCAGGCAACACTGCCAATGGTCAGAGGTGATAGGGGTTGTACTCCAACAACATCTGGGGGAGGCAGACTTCCTCCTTCAGATGTTACAAGAATCTTCCTGTTCTACAATAGCTAGTGCAGCCTCACTAGAATCTGATGTCAAATTAATTTGACTTCACTTCCTAGCAAAAACAAAATCTGAAACGTGCAAAATAAAAAGAGCTCTGCTGCCGAAGATGTTCACCCTCATGAAATATGGAGGGTGAAGAACCCAGAGACGCTGTGGAAAGTATTCAAGCCATAGGCATATGTGGGGGACAGGGGTGGAATTGAAAGGTAGTGAAAAGAGGAAATGGAAGATGGAGATGACTTCGACTGTGGCAAATGACATATCAAAATGATCAGAGTTGAAGGACAATGCTTAGTTGTGCACAACCCTGCAAGTGGACCCAAGATTGGATTTTTCTATCATGAACCAATGGGGAGACTCAAAGGCAAGGGAAGATGAGGGGGTTGATTGACCGAGGAAAGAAAATGTTAGCAACCCTTTTCCTTTGTATTAAGAATTGCTGAGGATTTGCTAGCATCTGCCTGAGTGCTCTGAGGATCTGCTGACTTCACTGAGTGGTGAGGTCACTCCATGCTTTGCAGGATGACAAACTTGTAGACTGGAAAAGGTATTAAGATGCAAATGATTTTTGTGTTTGTGGGAGAAGACCACACAGACTATGCAGGCGAGGAAGAAGAGTTAATTGAGTGTGGGAGACGCAAGATATATAGAACTTAGTATACATGTGCACAAGAGTGTGTAAGTGAAGGAATAACACTGCAAAAATTGAAGCAATAAATCATACCTGAGACCTCCCTGGAGGTCTATAAATAGGAAACCCAAAGCATTTCCTTCTATTTATTTTATAAGTGCAATAAACTTTATCAGCTTTTAGTATTGGAAACTCCTGCAATATTGATGTGCTCTTTACTTTAGAAGTTATTTGGAGGTTGGCATCTAGAGGCTAATGAAAAAAATGGAATTGGGGACATGGGAAAGAGGGCTTTTTCCTCTTTAGTAATAAAAAAAATACAGCCTTGCAGTGAAGCTCTTTCCAGGATTTCCTGTAACCTGATCGAACCAGACCCTTCATAGAATGCTAGGTATATTACTCAGGAATATTTACTTCTGAGAAGCCCCTCATGTTCATTACCTAAGACTGCAATCTTAACTAAGCACAGATACTAGGGAATAAATTCCACTGAACTCAGTTGGACTTACTTCTGAGTAGCATAAGTAGGGTTGCATTGTGAGCAAATAACATACACATTTTTCAGTCTCCATAAGGAAGTGTTTGCAAAGCTAATGGATGCCCAGCATTCCTGTTCCTGTTATATATATATATAGTCTTTCAATTATTTGACCAGATCAAATCTTTACAAGGGTTTTATACATGCCACAGTCTGATATAAGCCTGCAATGGAACTGAGCTAGCTTTGGCCAATGTAATAGCAAGTAAAGATGGATCAACTAGTTTAGATATATTAAAGACACTTCCAGTACTGAAGCTACCCTTTGAGGCCAGCATGATCTTTAATTTCCGCATGAAGAATGTCAAATATTCTTCAGGAGAGATGCAATAATGTACCCTTGAGCTATTATCTCATAGCAATCAAATGGAACCTCTGGATCATGAGTAAAGAATTGCAAGTTTTTGACACTGCAGATTTAGTCCCTGGTCAGAAAATGTTAGTAATCACTTGTAAAATAAATTAAAATTTAATTAGCACCCCCTAGATTTGCCAAAGTATTTTAAAAGTAGAACTCGGATTAAATTTAGCACAATAATATATCTCTGAATATTTTAGCAGGAAAGGTAGACATGAACAAGCAAAAATGGTTTTAGGAAATTCAGTGTATTGGCACTATTCAGTACCGTATGGTGGCAGTTGGAAGGTAATAAAGAAGAACTGGAGCTTAGTGGTAGATACAGTGGTACCTCGGGTTACATACGTTTCAGGTTACAGACTCCGCTAACCCAGAAATAATACCTCAGGTTAAGAACTTTACCTCAGGATGAGAACAGAAATCATGCTCCGGCGGCACAGCGGCAGCAGGAGGCCCCATTAGCTAAAGTGGTGTTTCAGGTTAAGAACAGTTTCAGGTTAAGAATGGAACTCCAGAACGAATTAAGTACTTAACCCGAGGTACCACTGTAATGTGCTTTTAAAGCCAAAGATACCTGGTAGGGTTGAGGGTGACCCCCATCTGAAGTCCTGAAGACTGCTGCCAGTCAGTGTGGACAATACTGAGTTAGATGGACAAAGTCTCTGACTCATTATAAATCAGCCTCCTGTTTTCCTTTTAAAAAAATGTCATCTGTTATGTTTTAAAAAGAAATAGAGCTGATGTAAAGGAAATTAACTATTTGGTATTTTACTATGCTGTTTTGAACTAGTTAGAAATGTAAAAATTAGTTATAAATATTAACCCCATAATCCCTCAAAAGTTTGTTTGGAGGTTATGGGGCTAACTAGGATCCATCAGAACCTCTCAGGTGGGCACCATTGCCATAATAAGAGAACAAGGGAAACCACCATGGTGAGTTCCAGCACCTCTTTTTTCTAGAAAAAAATAGCACTGGATATAGGCATCTTCTGAGCAGACCAGTAATCTGTAGATAAAAGGCAGCATTAGCCATTCAACCTTCACAAAGCGTTGCAATGCAAAGAAAACTGATCACCTGGATCAGTTTCAATCTAGCTTCTGCTGAAAAATATAGGCTTGGAAATGAACAAGGGGCACCCATCCCACCTGATTCCCCTGTGTTTCTTGATGTTTTTCAATGCCTTCTGAGCTGCCTTGTTGGGCGGGCACTGTGCTCTTGGTGGCAGTGCAGAGGAACGGCTGACTTGTGGCATGCAAAAAGGGTCCATATTGTTTTCTCCTTCATGTTACTCAAAACCAGGGCTTTTTTTTCCAGGGGGAAGTGTCTCAGGAGCTCCATTCTGGCACCTCTCAGGTGGGCACTATTGCCATCCTAAGAGAATGAGGGAGGTGGTCGTGGTGAGTTCCAGCACCTCTTTTTCTAGAAAATAGCATTGCTCGAAACCTACTTGAAACCACTGGGTGAGCTCATCCAGAGATTTGGGTGATGATGTCATCATCTTCCAAACGCTAAGAACTAGGATGAGGACAACAGATTCATTGCTACCATTTCTTTTCAAGCCAACATTTTGTTCTTTGCCCTCTGCCCTTCAAGGAGTCTTTGCCCAGGGTCTAGGTCTTTCTCCATGGAATGCAGAAGAGCAGATAATCTGGGCAGCGTAAGATCACTGCTTCCAATCCTGCCTTTCCATCTTTGAAAAAGATTCTCAGTGCTCCCCCACCCCTATAAGTCTCCAATGAGATGCTGAAGGCGTCTCCTAATTAAAGCATGTGCGATTCCCGGTTGACACGGTGGCGCCAAGGCTCAAAACCGTCCCATTTCCACATCCTCCAGGGACAGAATTGGCAGGTTCAGACACCTAGAAGCTTCTTCTGTGACAGACCTTCCCATGTGCGCTTCAGCGCCTTTATTATTTGTGTTTTCGCCTGTGTTAATTTCCCCTTTCAAGACTGCAGGCAAAAGAGTGGGGGGTGAGGCAGGGGAGGTCATTCTGCAGCTGAAGTGAAGATGCCCTAGAGGAATGGAAACGCGTAAAGCTGCTGGAGGAGGGGGGAGTGCCAACAAGTTCCGAGACCAGGATATGCAGAGTCCCAGGGGGCACAAAGGCATATTTCCGTTTGACTTGTGCTTGTCACTCATGGAAACTAAGTATGCTGCGCCACACGCACATGCACCTATGCATCCTGCACACAGCACTGCTCATAAGCCTCCGTCAATAGCACAGAGGGCATTTTTCTCCCATACAGGCCCATTTCATGCACAAACACCCTTGTGTGTTCAGAGCCCATCCAAGTGCTAGTCCTGATTAGGCTTCACTGCCTAAAACAAAATCCTTTATCTCTTTAGGAAATTCACGGTTGGCAAGCTTCCCCCTTATTCATAAGGTAAAGGTAAAGGGACCCCTGACCATTAGGTCCAGTCGTGGCCGACTCTGGGGTTGCAGCGCTCATTTTGCTTTATTGGCCGAGGGAGCTGGCGTACAGCTTCCGGGTCATGTGGCCAGCATGACTGAGCCGCTTCTAGCGAACCAGAGCAGCGCACGGAAATGCCGTTTACCTTCCCGCCGGAGCGGTACCTATTTATCTACTTGCACTTTAACATGCTTTTGAACTGCTAGGATGGCAGGAGCAGAGACCAAGCAATGGGAGCTCACCCCGTCGCAGGGATTCGAACCGCCAACCTTCTGATTGGCAAGTTCTAGGCTCTGTGGTTTAACCCACAGCGCCACCCACGTCCCTTTCCCCTCATTCATGGTAGTAAGCAAATAGCATATCCACAGAAAGCAAAACTTCCTGCATGACCCTTTTTTGCTTGCTCAGTCCGGGATGTGACTAGAAGTAGTTTAGACATTGCAAGAATAGCTGAGGGAAAGCAAATACACAAGCACTTGTAGGACTAGTAGTGCTTCTTTTAAGAGAATCTGCGCATGTCTCATCCTGGCAAGATGCACCAGTTTTCAGTGGGACGGGGAGCGGGAAGAAGTGGTGTAAGTTCCCCTTTGAACCTCACAAAACACTGCCTGCCAAATGCAAAAATGATTGCTCATTCAGCTAGCAGTGTTTCTTCAATGACGTCTCTAAAAATCAACAACACACATTTCTTTTATTAAACGTTTATATGCCACCCTTCATCAAGCTAGATTTCAAGGTGGTGAAATTAATTCAGTAATGCCCAATAAACAAAAATATGTTGCTCTCAGTGAGAGGGAGTGTGGCCAACAATCCTTGAGATTAATGGTTAGAGTGTTGGACCAGGGTTTAAATTACCACTCAGCCATAAACTTCACTGGGTGACCTTGGGCTAGTCACTGTCTCTCAACCTAACCTCACAGAGTTGTGAGGATAAAATGCAGAAAGGGAGTACCATGTATGATGGAGACCCTTGGATGAAAAGTGGGGTGTTGTTGTTGGCACCGAAGTGTCTCAAGAGATAATGGAGTGCCTCCCCCAGCAGTGAAGTCAAATCTCAGGGGCACAAGCCTGGGCAGTGTGCATGGAGGTCCTGGGAGGAAGTTGGAGTCAACAACAGCTGGAAGGCCACCAGTCCCCCATCCCTCGATGACTAAATAGTAGTGTGATCCCTTCATCTGCCATTCTTCCAAAGTGGGTAGATCTTGTGTCTTCCAATACTTTGCAATAAGTATTCTTGCTGCTGTTGTAGCATACATAAAAAAAAGTTCTGTCCTTCTTTGGCACCAATTGGCCGACAATGCCCAGAAGAAAGGCCTCTGGTTTCTTCAAGAAGGTATATTTAAATACCTTTTCAGTTCATTATATATCATTTCCCAGAAAGCCTTAATCCTTGGGCACGTCCACCAAAGGTGAAAGAATGTACCTTCAGTTTCTTTACATTTCCAGCATTTATTATCGGGCAAATGATAGATTTTTGCAAGCTTGACTGGGGTCATGTACCACCTGTATATCATTTTCATAATATTCTCTCTTAGGGCATTACATGCCGTAAACTTCATACCTGTGGTCCATAACTGTTCCCAGTCAGCAAACATAATATTATGTCCTACGTCTTGTGCCCATTTAATCATAGCAGATTTCACCGTTTCATCCTGAGTATTCCATTTCAACAGCAAGTTATACATTCTTGACAAATTCTTAGTTTTGGGTTCTAACAGTTCTGTTTCTAGTTTTGACTTTTCCACCTGGAAGCCAATTTTCTTATCCAGAATATATGCCTCCATTATCTGATAATAATGAAGCCAATCTCTCACTTTCTTTTTTAGTTTTTAGTTTCAATTTGTCTCCTTCTTGTTCCAAAATTTCGGCCATTTGGCCTCCATATTGAGCCTTTTCAGAGCTTTCGCTTCCATCGGTGACAACCACCTTGGGGTTTTATTTTCCAATAAATCCTTGTATCTTATCCAAACATTAAACATTAAACAGTGCTTTCCTGACAATATGATTTTTAAATGCTTTATGTGCTTTGACCTAATCATACCATAAATATGCATGCCATCCAAATACGTTGTTAAAACCTTCTAAATCCAAAATGTCTGCATTTTCAAGAAGTAGCCATTCTTTCAACCAGCAAAAAGCTGCTGATTCATAATAAAGTTTAAAGTCTGGCAGGGCAAATCCACCTCTTTCCTTTGCATCAGTTAATATCTTAAATTTTATTCTAGGCTTCTTGCCCTGCCAGACAAATCTAGAAATATCTCTCTGCCACCTCTTGAAACAGTCCATCTTGTCCACAATTTGCAATGTCTGAAACAAAAGCAACATTCTAGGCAATACATTCATTTTTATCGCAGCAATACGGCCCAGCAGTGAAAGCTTCAAATTCGACCAGATTTCTAAATCTTTTTTCACTTCCGTCCAACATTTTTCATAATTATCTTTAAATAAGTTCCCATTTTTGGCTGTCATATTAATCCCCAGGTATTTCACTTTCTTAACCACAGTCAGACCTGTCTCATTCTGAAACCTCTCTCTTTCAATCAGTGTTAAATTTTCTCTAAAACCTTAGTTTTTAGCTTGTTCAGTTTAAATCCTGCCACTTGACCAAATTCTTGAATTAATTCTAAGACCCTTTTAGTACTAGATTCTGGCTCCTGTAACGTCAATACTAAGTCATCTGCAAATGCTCTCAGTTTGTACTGTTTGGCTCCGACCTGTATACCTTTAACCAACCGGTCCCTTCTAATCATCTTCAGCAGAACCTCCAGGACCGATATAAAAAGCAGTGGGGAGATTGGGCACCCCTGTCGTGTCCCTTTTTCTATCTTAAATTCTTCCGTCACCACATTATTTACAATTAATTTAGCCTTTTGTTCAGAGTATATTGCACCTATACCATTTTCAAAACCTTGGCCTACCCCCATCCCCTGTAGGTTCTTCTTCATGAAGCTCCAAGAGATATTGTCAAAAGCTTTCTCCGCATCCACAAATATCAGAACTGCTTTAGTGTTAATATTCACTTCTAGTTTTTCCAAAATGTCAATTATATTCCTCAAATTGTCAGACAAGTGTCTTTCCGGGAGAAAGCCCACTTGGTCTTTATGAATCTCTTCCATCAATACTTTTTTCAATCTCTTGGCCAAAATGTCTGCAAAAATTTTGTAATCCACATTAAGTAACGATATAGGGCGGTAGTTCTTAAGCTGAGTCTTTTCAGTCTCTGTTTTAGGTATAAGTGTAATATACGCCTCTTTCCACGACTCTGGTGCCCTTTTCCCTTCCAAAATTTCATTGCAGACTTCCTTCAAAGGTTGCAATAGCCACTCTTTCAAGGATCTATAATATCTAGAAGTCAGCCCATCCGGTCCTGGAGATTTGCCCAATTGCATGTTTTGAATGGCACCTTCCACTTCCTGTTCAGATATTTTATAGTTCAGCATTAATTTACTTTCTTGAGAGATTTTTTGTAATCCATTTGTCTTCAGGAATCGGTCTATGTCCATTTCTTTCTGTGGCCCTTGCGTGTATAATTGTTTAAAGTACCTCTGGAAACAGTTTCTAATCTCAGTTGGGTTGTGTATATTCTTTCCGTCCACTTCTAAGTTTATAATAGTATTTAATTTTTGTCTTTTTTTCATTTGCCAGGCCAACAATTTCCCACATTTATTAGCTGATTCAAATGTTTTTTGTCTCATTTGTTTAATTTTCCATTCTATTTCCTGATTTCATTTCATTTTCATGTATTGTACTTGATATAATTTTATTTCTCTCAGAATCTCCTGCGACTTTGGTTTTGCTCTCAATTTGCTCTCAATTTCTTCTCACTTTCTTTTATTTTCTCCAAAATTTTATCTTTCTTCTCATTCTGACTTCTCTTCTTTATTGCATTCTGTTGTATCAGAAACCCTCTCATGACCGCTTTACTTGCGTCCCAGATTACTCTTTTTCTACATTGGTGTTCATATTTATTTCAAAATAGTCTCTCAAAGTTTTTGGGCCTTTTATATACTTCTTCATCTCTAAATAAGGTGTCATTCATCCTCCATCTGAAGGATCCGGTTGATATTTGTTTCATCTCCATCCTTACCGCATTATGGTCGGAGCAGGTTTTTGGGCAGATTTCTACTTTCTTTATCTTTGGTGCCATTCCTCTAGTTATCCATATTTGGTCAATTCTAGTCCATGTCATCTTGGCTTCAGAAAGATGACATGGACTAGAATTGACCAAATATGGATAACTAGAGGAATGGCACCAAAGACTATATGGAATTGGCATATATGGAATTGGCAGAAATGACTGGCAGAATCCGAGACCAGGGGGAAGAGTCGGTGGAAGAAGATTGGAAGAAATTTAAAGACTATTTACAGAAATATTGTAAAATTAATGAATGGTAGAATGATGTTGGATAGTAATTAAGCGGTTTCTAGCTGTAATGCTCTAAGAGAATATGAAGAAAGGGTTATAAATGGGTTAAAATCTAATGGTAAGGATTTGCTGAACCAATAAATTGAAGTGGAATACAAAAAGGGGAGGCACGAGGAGGTCCGGGAAACAAGCTAAAGGAAAATAAGTAACTGAAAATATGTGTGTTTTTAACTGTTTTTATTTTGTATTTTTCTCTTTTCCTTTTCATTTTTACTGTAATATTTCAAAAAACCTTAATAAATATCTTATAAAAAAAAATAGTAGTGTGATCCCATTTTGCCTATAAAATACTGAAGTAAGCTCTCAGCTTCATTTGTAAAAGCCTTTCAAAACAAAATGAGGTGGCGGGGGGAACCACAAAAAGAAATTAAGCTTTCAGCTCCATTTGTGAAATCCTTCTGAGAACAAAATGACGCACAAAGAGAAAATCCTTTTGAGAACAAAATGTCACACAAAGAGAGAAAATTAAGTCTCATTGCCCGGTATCGTGCATAATAAGCACACACGGGGGAGATGGAAGATACTAAATGCATACTCTCAGGTTTCACCCTCAACAAGCATGGTGGAAGTGAATGTGGTTTATTTAATGAAATTTGTATCCCGCTGGATTGTAAAGAGAGCCTGTAAGTGGAGCCTCTGAGTGATCGGTTATACTGGGTTGAGGGGACACACATACATTCACCTTATCCAACAGTTTTAACATCCCAATCCCAATTCCTGCCTTCCATCTGCCTTCCATCTGCCCTCTTCCTCTGTATTTATTATACTCTAAAGAGATTGTGGAGGGTCAGGTAAGGTTATCAGAACAATGTTTTAAGGCAGTTTAGGTTTTTCGGGGTGGGGGGAATTTGGATCTATCAGAAGATAAGATGAGTCTGCTGAATCAGGCCAATGGCCCATCTAAACCAGCTTCCTGTTCTCACAGTGGCCAACCAGAAGCCTGTGGGAAGCCTACATGCGGGACATGAGCTCAACAGCACTCTGCCCTCTAGTGATTCTCGGCAACTAGTATTCAGAGGCATTCTGCCTCTGACAGTGGAGGTGGAAGATAGTCATCATGGGTAGTAGCTGTCAATAGCACTGCCCTCAAATTGTGTGGTCCTCTTTTAAAGCCATCCAAGTTGGTAGCCATCACTGTGCACTGTGTCTGTCCTGAATTTTCCAGCACTCAGTGTCACTGGATGTCCATGAACTCTAGTGTTAATCCTTATCTGGCTCCACACCCAGGGAACAACTTGGATGGGTGGGTCAACCCACCTGTTAATCACACAGCATCATGGCTGGTGATTGACCCACTGGCAAATCTCTTGTTTTGCAGTTCTCAAGCACCCAACCACCAGGAGTGTTGCTGACTCTGATGAACCTGCATATCAAGGTCTACCATGTCACAGGAAGCTTGTCTTTTTGAGTTTGCCCTTTTGCTACATGTTCCCACTGATTTTTTCCCCATATTCTTGTTCACTTACTGGACTTTGGATAGCCATAACTTGAATTGTACTGGTCAATTCATTAGAATCCCTATGTATATAGAGAGTCCTGCATTCAAACTCTGTTTATCTTTAACAGACTTTCAAATCATTCCCAGATCCACAGACCTGTGACTTCGTATTTTGACCCACAACCTATTTCTTTACCCCGTTTAAGCTAAAAACAGATTGTTGTGTTGTTGTTTTTTAAAAAACCAATTAGGAGTATAATTTCTGCTCAGTAAGAGAAAGCTCGTGTAAGCCAGCATACTTCAATTTCACAAAGTTGCAGCTTAAATGACAATAATGTAATGTTGCTGCTTTTGCTACTGCTGTGTGTGTGTACAATTGGTGTGGTTGCTGCAAAAGGGAGAGATCAGTCACTGGCATCGTCAAATAGCATCCCATGAGATTTGAAAGGACAAGGGTTGCTTCTGAGAAGGGCAAAAGGCAAGCAGAAAGAGAGAGGAGAGAAACAAACAAACAAATGGCAGATGAAACTCTAATACAAGGCATACTGAAAGGCCGAAAGTTCCTCTTTCATTTGTATATTCTTCAATTACCTTTGACACTGTTGGATCTTCCTCTTCTGACCTCTCAACCCTTCAGAGTCATGGGGCAGGATCACCCAGCATTTAAGGAGACAGGTGGCACATGAGGTTTCTCTGTTGCCAGGTTTGTGCTGGTATCCTTAGGATAGGAGTAGGCAAATTCTGAGCAATCTCCTGAAGACAGTTCTGCATTTTGGTCCAGTTTAGCCTGGAATATACTGTACAGAGTAATCTTTATTTATTTAAAACATGTATATTCCACTTAATAGTTTTTAAAATCTCTAAGCAATGTAACAACATAAGAGCAGTAAACAATATAATTAAAACAAGAATGCAACATAAAACCAATAAAACAGTAGTATAAAAGCAAGTGAAAACAAGAATTCAGGGAATTCATACAGAAAAAACAGGCTCCAGTCTTATGGGTCATGGAAAGCTTGGGTAAAAAGATATAAGACATCTGAAGCATATAGAGCATTCTGCTTCATCTATGACAGAGGGAAAGGCATTTCACAGCAGTGGGGGCAATAGCAGAACTGCCCTATAACATTTTTTAGAATGCCCTTTACTATATTAATCTGATAATTAAAAAAACCACACCAACAAGCAGTATCCAGGCTCATAAATTAGGTTGATTAATTTGCATTCCCCCTGAGATAGTATTGTTGAAAATACACCAAGATGAGCAGGTCTTCTTTATCATCAAGCCTTATAAGAAGACCCTCTGAACTGTACCCAAGCAAGGCTTTGTTGGCCCTTTGAATGGCGTGCAGCAAGACCAGCACTTCCAGTGTGGGGTAGCTTTATTTATCTAATTTGTCTGTTATCTTTGATCTGGCTCTGTGTGCATACATTATGTCTAGAACAGATTTCTCCTTTGTCATCATGTATTTATATTATAGTATGCTTTTAAATTTGTGTTTATCCTATCTGAATTTATCAAAACATTTTGTAATAAATTGGGTTCCTTCCCCCCTCCCCGGAAAAAAAAAATTAATGCAAAGTTGATGTTTGTTGTGAGCGAACCCCTTTGGGCACAGTTCGCTTTGGGGACGTGGCGTGTAAATAAACCCACACTTCTCAGACAAATAGATGGATAGGTGCAAATTTCGTTAAGAAGCTGTTGTTGTGCTGGTCTTCAAGCATTTGGCTTCCAGCTGACCTGAACTGTAATGGGGCAGATGTGACCAAGTGGCCAGGCTCTTATTAACCATGGAGTTAAATCTGATCAGAGGCCTTTGTAAATAAAGGCAGGCTTGGCAGCCTTTCCTCTGGGTCTCGGTTTGTCTCAGAAGGGAGAGAGAGAGAGAGAAAGCAAGGATGCAGAACTGAAATGGATGTCTTGCCTCACACTAAGGCAACACCCCCCCCCCCCAATTTACAATTCAATTTGAGAAGAGATGGGAAAGGTTGCCATGTTGCCTTGAAAGGGTCACAAGGTTCCAGTTCAGCAACATCAAGGAAAGGAAAGCTGGGAGGATGGAGAGCAGAGAGGCAGGGTGGGAGGGAGAAGAGTCAATGCTATCTTTTCCCATTGCCCCAGGGACACCAAAGAGATCACATCTCTGATCCAATTACTAGCAAACCTTAGAGAACGGCAAAGCACTAGGTGTCTAACACCAGTCTCATTTACTCATCTCATGAAACTTGCTACCGATATGCAGAGATTTATTTTTTTTAAGAAAATAAATGAGACAATCGCACAAAAGACTCACACAGGGGAACAGCTCTCAGTTGGTAACACTTATTCCACATAGAACTTTTCGCTCTGTGTGTATAAACACAGTGCATTATAACGTGGCATATATGCAGGTGAACAACAGTGTTACTTGGATCTGGACCTTTCCTGCTGATCTAGCATAATGGAATATAGCACAATGTTATATATGTAACACGGCTGATGGACTCTCCAAAAGCATTTTAGAATATCAGAGGTGAATGCAGCACAGGAAACTGCCTTCTACTGAGTCAGACAATTTGTTCATCTAGCTCAGCATTGTTGACACTTACCGGCATCAGCTCTCCAAGGTTTCAGGCAGGGGTCATCCCCAGTCCTACCTAGAAATGCCAGGGATTGAACCAAGGACTTTCTGCAGATGTCCTGCCACTGAACGATGATCCTCCCACAAATAAACTGGCATGCTATTGAGCTAACAACATAAGAAGAGACTGCTGGATTAGGCCAATGGCCCTCCTAGTCCAGGATCCTGTTCTCACAATGGATGACCCAATGACTGTGGGAAATCTGCAACCAGGAGCCAGGCACAAGAGCACTCTCCCCTCCTGAGATTTCCAATAACTGGTATTCAGAAGGATTAAAGGTAAAGGGACCCCTGACCAGAGCAGCACACGGAAACGCCGTTTACCTTCCCGCCGGAGCAGTACCTATTTATCTACTTGCACTTTGATATGCTTTCGAACTGCTAGGTTGGCAAGCAGGGACCAAGCAATGGGAGCTCACCCCATTGCGGGGAATCGAACCGCCGACCTTCTGATCAGCAAGCCCTAGGCTCTGTGGTTTGGACCATTACTGACTCTGAAAAAGTAGGCACAGCAGAGCCATCATAGCTTGTAGCACTATTGGTAGCTTTCTCCTTCAAGAATTTGTCTCCATTAGGGCCATCCTTGTTGGTGGCCATCGCTGCTGACTTTCCACATATGTATCTGTGTAGCCAACATTCCCAGTTGCGTTTGCAGAGTTGGGAGCTACCAGTATTGACGTTTTTAATAGATGATAATGTAGCTCTATTGGTTTGTGGAAGAAGGCTGTTGTATACCGTACCAACTCTTGTCGTTGAATTCCTTCCAGCCAATTTGAC